CACACACACACACACACACACACACACACACACACACACACACACACACACACACACACACACACACACACACACACACACACACACACACACACACCGTAGACAAATCAAAGCTCCTCTCTTCCTTCATCATCTCCTATACCTCTGTACTCACCATGATGACATAGTAAGGTAAATATATCAGGCTTTCGTTCACCTTAAACATAACAAATGAAAAGATTATAATTCCAACCTACTTTATACACAATAGTGATGATATATTGCAGAAAATTGTCATCAGCCGATACTAAGAGTCTAAATGCATTTATATTCTCAGTAAGTAGGATTATCTTGTTTAGTGTAGGATGATTGATTTTACTTAGTGTCGCCGATTTGGTGATTAGTAACTACTGAAGTGATATTGTATCTGGTGTAAATAAACTCCGTAATATTGTTATTGTTATCATTGTTATTGTTATTGTTATTATTGTTAGTGTTATTGTTATTATTGTTAGTGTTATTGTTATTGTTCGTGTTATTGTTATTGTTATTGTTATTATTGTTAGTGTTATTGTTATTGTTATTATTGTTATTGTTATTATTGTTAGTGTTATTGTTATTGTTATTGTTCGTGTTATTGTTATCCTTCTCGTCTCTCTTCTCTCCCAGACGTGAAGACACAACAAGACACCTGAGAACAACTCCACTATATAAAACTCACTTGCCTTTTCTCGTTATTTCAACACATCAAAGTAACAAGAATCTACCTAAATTAACACCTACCCAGACGTTACCTGTCACAGAAACATTAAGTCACCTGTCATAAATCTTCCAATATATGTATCACGTATTTTTTTTCAATTTTGTTAATGTTGCAACTTGTGAAAAGGACGAAGAAAATTAACAGCCTTTAACACGAACAAGTCATTAAAACAAACATCTATAACCCTTGGTATTTTGTTGATATTATGGAAGGTAGAATTCAGGAGCAAATTGTGAGGTAACGGGAGATTTAGGCACCATGATTCCCGTGTAATCTATATGTAGTTTCTTATGCCTCTGTACGCCATTACTTCTGGTGTGTGCTGTGGGGCTGTTGAGAGGAGCATGTTTGTTGTAATACATTGATGTTTATCTAATAAGAGAGATTGAAAAAATGTAAGAATGTGAAATATATATACAGTCTTCCTTGAGAACTCTATCATGTTGTCAGGAAAGTTCCCTCAGGATGGTTGAAGATCTGAGTCACTAATGTTAATGAACAACACATTTCAAAATAAATTAATAGATTTATGGTTTCGAAAAAAAATCGGAGACCAAGAGTAACTGATTGCAGGAACTAGGTCAGTTTAGGTTAGGGTAGTTCAGTCGAGGTTAGGTTAGGTTAGGGTAGGGTAGTTCAGTCGAGCTTAGGTTAGGTTAGGTTATGGTAGTTCAGTCGAGCTTAGGTTAGGTTAGGTTAGGTTAGGTTAGGATAGCTTAGGTTAGGTCAGACGAGGTTTAGTGCCTCGCATGAAGGGTTCTAAACACCATCACTTCCTGTGTTAGAGCCTAAAGGTTGATCCTAATGTGCTTTATGACACAGTAGGCTCCCGGTTTCCTCATTTTACAACAAAATATTTTAATTAAAAGATATATGTACATATAATACGTCTAGTTAATATGATGAGTTGAACTTAATACCTGCTTAATTAACCACACACACACACACACACACACACACACACACACAGACACACACACACACACACACACAATAATATCAGTCAATAATACTAATAATAATAAACACACACACACATACACACACACACACACACACAGACACACGCACACACACACACACACACACACACACACACACACACACACACAGCCACACACATTAGACATTGGTTGCTGACACACACACACACACACACACACACACAGCTTAAACCTTATACACCACAGGCTAAACACTCTCGATCATATAAACGACGGATATACACCACCTCTGATCTGCCTCTCTACAGCAAGTTATATAACGATATTCTAAACTTATATAAACTTTTATTATATTTGTGAGCCTAAACACAGGAATTATGGTAACCTAAACATGTGCGCGCGTGTGTGTATGTGTGTGTGTGTATGTGTGTGTATGTGCGTGTGTCTGTGTGTGTGTGTGTGTGTGTGTGTGTGTGTGTACTCTCCTGTGTTCTCGTGTTATTGGTCAGTGAATCATAACCTGACCTACGTGAGATTATTGCCAGTCGAGATATAAAGCGAAGGTTTTAACACACAAGATTATGTCTGGGGGGTTTCAGGTGTATCCCCCCCCCTCCCCCCCAGCGACCAGGTGTGGGTGTCTGGCAACTAACCTGTTAATATTACCTGTTTTATATATAGCTTTAATATCCCAGTAAACGTGAATTACCTTTGGCAGCTGTTAATTTCACCTGTTCTTTATGGGGTAAATCGTCTCGTTTAGATGTGAAATAAACCCAATATGACTGCTAATTCCCGTATCTTTTCTTTTTATTATTATTATTTATCGGTGTAATGAACTACCAAGGGGGAAAAAATCATAGTATATTTTCATTCACTGGGGAATCATGTTACACCTCATGATATTTTGACCCTCCATCCCACCCCTCATAAACTATCAGTAAATGGTCATTGCTGTCACCACACTGAGAGGTATTAATCCACTGAGGGCGTGACAGTATTGACAGCTCACAGTGATCTACGGTGATTATGCACGGATCTCCACTCCTGATCACCATATAATCCTACACTGAATGACGGATTGCATTACCCGGGTCACTGTGCTTGGTATAAGGGAGAGTAATGGGCGGCAGTGATGACGGTCTGGGTTAGTTAGTAAGGAGGATAAGACGTAAAGCCACCCAAACCGCTTGTGGCTGGATGACAAAGCTCCGACCTGCAACACACCGTAATGCTGGGTGTAAGGACCTGGATGAAACACACTGTAACTCCAAACACATATGATACTGCAACACCTAAGGTACCCCCCCAAAAAAAAAAATGTTGTTCAAACCTAAATGACCACAAAGAAGTATTCAATTTATTAGACCAGAAAGACACACAGAGGCGACACCATGAAACCAAAACAAGGGGGGGGGGGGGGGAGGGACAGGGGTGGGGGAGGAGTGAGGCGGGAGGACAGGGGGGTGAGGGGAGGCGATCTTACCTTACCGGAGGACCATTGATCGTTCGGGGAGGGAGGGAGGGGGGGGCACTCCATAATGAACCACCTGTGATGATACACCTTTAGTGAGGTCGAACAGGTGCAGTGAATAGAAGATCTTCGGCAAGCAGTGAGAGATAGTGAGGGAGAGTTAATAGCTTAAGTAAGATAGTGGAGAGTTAATAGCCTTAATGAGATAGTGAGGGAGAGTTAATAGCTTAAGTAAGATAGTGAAGAGTTAATAGCCTTAATGAGATAGTGAGGGAGAGTTAATAGTGTGTATGAGTGTATGTGTGTGTGTATGTGTGTATGTGTGTGTGTGTGTGTGTGTATGTAAGTGTATGTATGTGTGTGTGTATGTAAGTGTGTGTGTGTGTGTGTGTGTGTCCCATATTCCCCCCTATAAGAACACACACGTACACGTCTTTTAATACATAACCGTCCAACGAGCATGACTAATTAGGTAGTCGAGTGTCTTCCAGGGTTCACAATCTTCCAATCACTGAATGGCTAAGGAGGCTGTTGACTATTCCCAATACCAGAGGGCCGAGAGAGGCTGAGAGGTCCTATACGCCCTCACGCCCTCACGCCCTCACGCCCTCACACGCCCTCACGAGTACGTAGGATAATTCTTCATCGTTTATGTATTATGAGGTCCCTCCGCCGCTTACGTTCAGTACACATCTGTTGTCTCATGATTACTCTCACGGTTTTCATTTTTATTACTCTGTTTTTCATCTCTCTCTCTCTCTCTCTCTCTCTCTCTCTCTCTCTCTCTCTCTCTCTCTCTCTCTCTCTCTCTCTCTCTCTCTCTCTCTCTCTCTCTCAATCTAGGTGCAATTACAGGTGATACTCAGTTTACATCCAGTCGTCTCTCGTTGATTGTCTCTCGCAGCGTCCCAACAATATATCAGCCCCATAGAATATATTACCTGTTAATTACACGTCCACAGGTAGCTTATATAACCAACACACCTGTATATATAGAATTTGAAACTTATTATCCATTTTATCTCTAACCTAACCTAACCTAACCAAACTTGACCTTAACCTAACCAAACCTGACCTTAACCTAACCAAACTTGACCTTAACCTAACTTAACCAAACTTGACCTTAACCTAACCTAACCAAACTTGACCTTAACCTAACCAAACTTGACCTTAACCTAACCTAACCTGACCTTAACCTAACCAAACTTGACCTTAACCTAACCTAACCTAACCACTTCTCACAACCTTTTCAACAGCGTTAACTCCTCAACTCTGATTTTTGTGGCGATTCACCTTACGTGGAGTGGCGACGTATGTAGTGGAGAATGTGTTGACTGAATCCTAGTCGTGTTAGCGGTGTGGGGGGGTGGGGAAGGGTGGAGAGGAGGAGGGACGGGGTGGATTATTATTTACGTATTATTTGAATTAATTTATAGCCGCTAATTGAAGTTTATTGAATTGAGAGTACACGCGCTAGTCTAAAGGAATTATTTTAGTTTAATTAGGTAGTTTATTTAATTGATTTGACCTTTATTATTATTATTAGGGTTAGGATTATTGTTGTTGTTGTTGTTGTTGTTGTGGGGTGGGGTGGGTGGGGCGTGGTGGGGAGGGGTGAGGTGAGGTGAGGTGAGGTGAGGTGAGGTGAGGTATCTGGTAGATGATGACGCACCAAGTCGGGGAATTTCCCAGGAGACAGGTAACCGCCCGGAGGAGGAAGAGGGAAGGGAAGTGGCATCTCAGTTCACCTCCTGCCAGAACTAATGAAGGAGGAACCACTTCTTCCTGGGACGGTGAGGAATGATGATGATGATGATGATACAAAGGTTTTCTCATCAACCAAGGTCGTTAAGTGTGAGATCTGGACTACGGTCGTTAAGTGTGAGGTCTAGACTACGGTCGTTAAGTATGAAATCTGGACTACGGTCGTTAAGTGTGAGGTCTAGACTAAGGTCGTTAAGTGTGAGATCTGGACTACGGTCGTTAAGTGTGAGGTCTAGGCTACGGTCGTTAAGTATGAAATCTGGACTACGGTCGTTAAGTGTGAGGTCTGGACTAGGGTCGTTAAGTGTGGAGTCAGTATTATATCATACTTATGTAGGACGCAGGTGGAAGCACAAGTTCACATCACCCTGGATAAAGAAAATATTTATTCCTTATTTTATTTTATTTATTTACTGTTTTCCTTCGTTATGTTCGTCCACATACCACCAGAGGGATTCAACCATACCTAGACACTAACTGACAACAACACTCAGACACTCAATAACCTTCAAGTGGACAGATAAACCCGTGAGGACCAAAAACAAAAATAAAAGTTATATTGTTTAGATAATAGGTTGTGTTGAAGTGCTTGTGATGTGAGAGCGGGGGAGTGAAATATACTAATGGTCTGAGGTGAGATACGGAGACATACTGAATAATATGAAAAGCTTTTGCCATGTTGGAGAAAAATATATAGAACTCAAGGTGTAGTGAAGATGTCGGGGCTCTTGTATACGTCTCAAGAAAATGTACTTTAGAAACACTGAGAAGAATGAGTGTTAAGTAGACCTCAAGGTGTAGTGAAGATGTCGGGGCTCTTGTCTACGTCTCAAGAAAATGTACTTTAGAAACACTGAGAAGAATGAGTGTTAAGTAGACCTCAAGGTGTAGTGAAGATGTCGGGGCTCTTGTATACGTCTCAAGAAAATGTACTTTAGAAACACTGAGAAGAATGAGTGTTAAGATGCTAAGATACAACAGTAAGCAACACACAGACTTCAAACAATACTGTGTTCGTAGTGATTCTTGATCAAGAGAAGAACAATTATTATCTGCCTCAGAGTTGAGTGTTTACGTGTGAGAGTGTTCAGTGGGTAGACAGGCAGTACCAGACCCCCAGACCATCGTATTGGTCTTTATTACACTAGGATGTAAGGACCACTTTACCATGAGGCTGGTCAGACTCACCCTAGGGCATAACATTAGAACAGTGATCCTTATTACACAGATATGTAAGGATCATATTACCCTGAGACTGCTGTAATAATATTAAACTTTACGTGACGACAGCATTAGACTGACCGTTGTAGCTCTGGTTTATTTAAACTTGTTTCATTATAGAGATTTATCCTGGCAGGTGAGGTTAACTTCATGCTGCAGTCATTAGCTTCTGCTCTTACTGACGTGGAAGATATTCTTTCTGTGGCGCCATGATGTATAATGAGTTGTTCTAAAGCTTACGTCCGTGACACTTCTGACTGGCTGTGTCCGTGACACTTCTGACTGGCTGTGTCCGTGACACTTCTGACTGGCTGTGTCCGT